AATATTGATAACAGTAAGGTCTAGACCTTACTTTGTAAAGTGTCCTGAGATGACTTTTGTTGTGATTTGGCGCTATACAAATAAAATTTGATTTAAGAATCCCTTGAGGTCTGAGACCTCTTTTTCGAGGGTGCCCTGGTGAACAGAAGTTCCTCTGGGCAAGACACTGAACCCCAAGCTGCTCCCCAAGGCTGTTGCCATCAGTGTATGAGTATGTGTGAATGGTCAAATATTGTAAAGTGCTCTGAGTGCACTTCAGTGCATAGAAAGGCGCTATGTAAATGCAAATCCATTTACCATTTAAAATCCAAAGCCTGGTTATCTTTAGCCTCAGTTTGCCCTGGAGACACAGTGGGAAACTGAGTATGAAATGAAGATGTTAAGCAGCAAATAAAAAAATAAAAAAAAAAGGGGAAAAGTTTTCTTTTGTCACAAGATACTCATAACTATAGTTGAATAGCAAATTCAGTAGCAAACTTTAATCGAATTTTTTGTTAGGCAAGGCTATTGTTATAACATGTTTGTAGCAAAATAATCTTACTGTACAGTAGTTCTGCATATCATCTTATCTCTTATTACAGAACAAACAGGATAAACAATTTCTCTACATTTTACAATTTCTTCAGTATCATATGCAGAACAGTTTGCTTCCTGTTGCTGTGCAGCCATTTACAGTACAGCAGCCAGAATTCAAATATGATTAAATGCATACAAAAATAGTGACAAACTGCAAAATACCTGTGAAAAGACAGCCATTTGACCCCGTCACAGAGCACCACTCCTGATGTCATCAGCAGCTCTGCAAAGTACAGCGTCTCAATGCCTTCTTCCTCGTGCTTCTTGAACTGAATCCCTGAAGTGGTCAGCAGTTCAATGGAGTCCTGTGCGTACATGTCCTCTCTAATGAGAAACAATGCACAACATACTATAATTGTTACAAACAAAACAAGACACTCAGGTAGGCAAGGAGCTGTACTGTCAAAACAGCATCTAAGAAGTGTGTAAGTGCTCTCATTCAACACAGTGTGCTGTGAGGAAGCCCAGGTGTTTTTCTCTAAACTAGTACCAGAACCACAAACAGGAGACATGCAAATTCTGGTTTAATAAACAATTATATAGTGCCAAAACATTGCATTTGAAACTATGTATATGTTCTCAAGTGTGAAGGCAACATAAGAAATAACCAGGATGACATAGGAAAGTTATCTTACGTGAGGTTAAACTTAAAATTGAATTGCCATGTTGATGTCCCAGGAGGGTATTCCCCTTGTTCGTTCATAAACGTCAGACCTAGCTGGATTATCTTGAGCAGATCCACATTGCATCGCAGTAACTGGTACTGATAATCTGCGTTGCTTCTGAACTCTCCGATCGGTCTGGCTACTACACCTGGAAATTCTGTATCCTGCGAGAAGACAACTCATTATTTATAGTACAGAAATCTGATCTAATTAAAAAGTCAAGTATCAGATAGCTGTGTCCCTGTGTCTCTATGAGCACCACTCACCATAGCAATGTAGTTGTATTTCCTGATGACATGTCGGATCCTCTTCAGCTCCTCCTCCAGATTGTTGGCCCAAACTTCACATATTCTTTGGCTGTGATCCACAGTAGCTGCTGGCATAGTGCCACTATGATGGAAAAAGGAAGAAGTCAGAAGCTTTAAGAAGACAGCTGGTTCACAGACCTAGCCCAATGTGCTGACCTGTGACAGACCAAATAATACAAAGGTACGTTCCCAGATACCCAAGAGCCACTGATAAATCATTTGGCTGACGACATATAACGTTATAATATTAAATATAGGAACTACAATTTGCTCTGGGTATGAAATCACAGACATCAATGTCAACTCTCACCACTGGGCAAGCTAATTCAATCTCAGAGCGGTGAGTGCTTCTTCTGAGCTGGGACACTACAAGTTAGCTGCTAAATGAAGGAGTTAATGCAACATAAACGCAAACTGACAGTGGGGACAACAGCTGCGTGCTTTGCAGGACATGCCAGGCAGGCTGCTGTTAACATTAGCTCATCACAGGGAGTCTTCACAGCACTTTGGGCTAGCTAGGCTACATGCAGCTGTTTGCAGGCTATGCACAGCACTGGTTAACATGAGCACGACAGCTCAGGTAGGAGGCTGTGTACTTTCAGCGCACTTCTCATGTAGACGGTTGACTGGTCAGATAAATAACTGTTTGTGCAAAATATGAAAGTGACGACTGAATAGCGGTGCGCGTGCACACACACACTCACACGTATCGTTAAATATACCCGGAGCCACTTTGACACTGCAACGCTCGCTGTAGCTTCATTAACTTACCGTTCCCCAAACCGGGCGGGCGTGTGTTTTAAGCGTGTACTACCTGAAAATTGTTAATTTGTTCAACGTTACTGTGTAGGGGGGTTCAGCTAACTTTTAAATAGTTTCTATTCACTACTGTATCGATATCAACCTACAGCTCCCATCATAGCTGAACCTACAATACAACGTCATCACGTACAACGGAAACGTCATGTACGTATGTATTGTTTTGCCTGTATGACCCCCATGTGCTATATGTTAACAACGACCCCTCTGAAAACATGTAGCCTGTTTACTAAGAAAGGAAACTGTTACATTAAATCAATTAATTAAGCCTTTAAACTTTATAGACTTGTAAAAAAAATTGGCCCAGCAATTTCTTTAAGTTCCATATTAATTTAGCTTTCTCTCACTGTGCACACACTATTATATTTTTGTACACAACATATTCATTTTACTTATATTTTAACATTATTTCACACATTGACACCGATACAGTTTGGAAAGACAAACGAGGCAAATAATTTATCCTAAAGTAAAATTTGCTTGGAGATAATAAATGAAAGCTGACCCAAAGCAGCACTGCTGGTGCCAGCAGGTCGTCAAGACTTTGCTAATGACCAGTACAGATGGGCAGATGTTCATCAACAACAGGAATTAAATTACGGGAGATCTGATAGAGACCTACTCATACCAGTTACATATTAAGCTGGTTCTGTACATGCAGTTGTTCAGACTTATTACTCTTGCATCAGGACTTATATATGGTGAAAAATGGAAACAGAAGTGGGAGGTTTTAGCTTTAAAATAGCTGAGTAAATAAATATTTTTGTCAGTCAGAAAAATGACAGACTGTGCAGCTCATTGGTCAACCTAAGTTTTTGGCTGTTCATAAGAATTACTTAAGATACAAAGCCTAGATTTATACAAGTGCAGTATAATATTTTTTTAGAGGGTTGGTTCACTCAATTTACAAAAGGATATTGTTTCCCTTGTTCCTTGTGGTATCTAGCTATGCAGATAGTTTTGGTTAATCTGTCCAAGGTTTGAGAAATTGGATTCTGATATTTTGCCTAGACTCAGGATAATGGGGTACTGAGAAATTACACTGATTCAGCAGCAACATATTTATACAATCAGTGTCCCATTTACTCTGTTTAATCCCCAGATCACACTGCCAACATTACTAAAAAGTAATCCCTATATAAAAAAATAGTATCCTAAAATCTCAAACCATCCGCAAATTAAAAACAGAACTATTGCAATGCCTTTTAAAGTGTCAGACAAGAACAGAATCAGGAACTAATAGACCAAACAGTAATTTATTTATTTCACAGATAAATGACACAATTGACAACAGTGCATTTAGATCATCTTGATGAATCTGCCTCTTATTTCACCCCAGCAAATAAATGCAGCAATATAAAGCTCTTTCTTTCATACAAGGTCAAAATTCATTATGACCAGACATTTTAAAACACAATACAAATAAAAACCATGCATGAAAGCAAGATTACAGTAGTCAAAAAAAGTCAAAGTACAAAAATATCTTCACATGCTTTGCTTGATAATCTACATTGTTCATTTGTACCGCAGTGCACCTACAATAATGTGTACCACACTGTTAAGGTGAGCAGTTTGGGTGCTAATCTTACAATTAAAAGGACACAAATACATTTTTTTTAAAAGTTAATTTTATGCTGACCAAACCAGCAGTATATTTGCTCAGCTGGTTCTTTAGCCTTATTTACTCTGTGCATTCATTTATAACTTTTGGTTTGAGCACAACAAATCTGGTGTTGAAATATTTTGGACAGAAATGTATGACATTGCCTTGTAAAATTTCACAGCTTATTTTTCACATCCTGTAGTATTAATGTCATGTAAAATCACCTGACAAGTTGAAATTCTCAGGTGTGGACCACAAGCTTCCAATTAACCACAATTAGATTAGATTAGAATAAACCACTGATTATTGTAGCGTAATGACTCCAAAGCCAGCCGAGGCCACTGTGCTGTGCAGGGTGAGTTCAGCTCAGTCTTATCATGTCCTGTGAGGTTCAAATGCCACTACATTGCTGTTGGAACTAGGTCTTGGGTAGAATGGGATTGCTGCTCTTCTTTCAGGCCAAACTACAGTCCTGAAACCAGCTGGCCTGGGAGTAGCAGTGACCATGAGGTGCAGCAGCATTAAAAACAGATAGTAGACTAAATTATCAAATCATTTTATTGCAAACAATGCTACAGTCATTCTGAACGCCAGTTAGCACCATGTGCATGTTCGGTCATATTCTTGAGAAGCTTCAATATGATTCAGCTGTTTTATCCCTGTAGTTTGTCCATTTGTTTTTCTTTCATCTTGTTTTGTTTCCATTTCTCCCTTTATATATTAAATAATTTGAAAGATTAATGCAGCAAAAAAATCTCTTTGGAGCTCTACTGTTGTTTCATATGGCTCTGAAAACTGGCATATCGCAGCAGGACTTGTTAAATCTTTTTCTTTTTAGAGCTAGCTGAGGTTAAACCTGTAGTGTAGCATTGTTTGTACCCATGATTAGACTGTTAAGTCTTTTTACTTAAGGTGTTTACATCACCAGGTCTCAATAGAAATGTAGTTAAAGGTTTCCAATATTAAACAGGTTATTGTGGCATTAGTTTTTGTCTGTCTGTGTACAGTGTTGTGGGCCAAATCAGCTGTCACCGCACCACATGCAAGCAAAAGTGTAGGTAAACCGTTTAACCTGAAGACTGTTCACCGGAGCTACAGTCAGTAGCCAAGTTACTTGATGCATGAAATATTTGTTCAGTGGCTGTGCAGCTGCTGAAGCTTCCACCACATGCTATGTTTGTTCAGGCAGCAATGTAGACAGCCTCATCCGAGTCTGGATCCCGGATGCTATCCTCGCTGAGAGGGGAACGACAGCTCAGGTCTGCGATCCCCGACTCCTGGTCACTGCCATTGGAGAGGTTGGAGTCAGAGGTTTGGTTCAAGTCTTGCGGCAGGAGGAGCAGGCTGCTGTCCAACACTTTTAGCTGACAGGGGCTGCTGGTGATGGAGCCACCGGTGTAGTCCTGAGGGGTGTTGGCCAAATTGAGGCCATTATTGAGAGTCCATGCTGTGGGGCTTTTATCAAAGGTGGTCGATTTCTGAGTGACACTCCACTCCTGCTCATGCTCTAGCTGAGCAATTTTCTATTGAACATGTTGAAATTAGTCAGGCATTGGACCAGAATTAAAAAAACAAAACAAAACACTGCAGGAGAAGTTTCTCACAAGAAATGAGTTGCAGTAATGAATATACAGGTCCATCCCTACCTGTTTGTGTGAAGCCAGCTGCTCCTCCAGCTGCTGCGTCTCCTCTTGGATGGCCCTCAGGCAGTCCTCCGCAGACTGTCGAGGATGTATCCCTCGGTCAAAGTGGTTGTACAGCCCGCTCCAAAATCTACACAAAACAAAGAGAAATAATCAGGGCAATTAGCTCTGTCAACACGCACTCTGCTAGTACTGCAGTCTCAACTGAGGATTAATCTGTACACCAGATTTCAGTACAAGCACTGATTTAGTTGCCCTTAATATAAACTTACTTAAAACAGTAGGGGGCAGTAGACAGTTGGAGGAGCCCCCGAGTCTGGCTGTGGTCTGGCCTGTACAGAGGATTGATGTAGTCTGCACGGTTCATCCATAGATAACTCCACAAAGAGTGAGTCTTCTCGCGCACTCTGTATCAATGTCACATGTAGGTCAAAGAATAAAGTCCAAAAATACAAGACAAAAAAGTTTTTTTTAATCAAATCAAAGATGCAACTGATTTAGAATATGTCATTTTTCTTTCTAGTGCTGAGCCATCTCCATCTGCACAAGCCCAGTAATGCAGTATACAAGTGGCTGTCATTTCCTCAGTCCTCTCTCAGACCAGATGCCTATGCTGTGAAAAGAAAAAGAAATGGTGGTGGCTGCAGGGTTGACTCTCACCCCAGCTCTATCCTCTCCCGCTGGTTGTTGCCAATGAAGTTGCCATACTGGCAGGAGTAGATGTGGCTGTGAATGGTGATGAGGAACCTCTCGCTGAACTCAAAGGCACAGGGGAACTGCTCCATCAGCTGCCACACACACTCCAGGAACTGGTCGATGATGGGAGACGCCTCTTTAGGGTCTCCAACCAGGTGGTTGCATCTGGAGAACAGGTGAAGACGCTTAAGTCCAAATTAAACATCAAAATCCTGCTGTATAGGAGCTGTGACAGTAAGGTTTCATAGTCAAACCTGTGAGAGAACTTGTGTCCAAATGAGACCCACTCTTTCTCAATGAGAACCTAAGTGCAGAAGAAACATGGACATGTTGAATTCTACCGGGCCATGAATAAAGTTCAGAGAGTGCACAGTCAGTCCCGGCAAAATGCCTCAACCTTTTCACCCTCTGTGGAGGGTCATTTGGCAATTCCCAAAAGCAGGCCTTATGATCGAAGAACCTCAGGAGCCCAGTTTGGACTCCTATCAGCTAAAGCCAGAATGTAACTGGATATATTATGATGCTACGGATTATACCAGAGGGTTATGTGACCATCAGTGATAGTTCTGCGATGTAATCTTACATCATAACTTAAATACAAAAGCAAAGGTTCAGTTTCTACCATGAGTCCTCTGAGGGTCCTGTAGTAGGGATCCAGCAGCACACAGGCCACTGAGCACACCTGGGCAGTACGGTCCCAACCATCTGAGCAGTGAACCAGCATACTGACACCCTCTTCTGCAACAGCCTGCACGCACACACACACACACACACACACCCCAAATAGATAGAGTAGCCTGCAGTGTCACAATGATTCATGGTGTTGATAGTAGATGATGGCTAACAAAAAAAACCCCTTAATTTTAACATTAGAAAATGTCAATAATTTAAACCAGACATGGTTGTGAACTGTAACTGGAAAGTTATATGTTAAATTTCAACGATGCTCAGAGGAATTAGTGTGTTATCCTGATTATGTTGACCAATGATTACATTAACATCCACAGAAAAAGTTTTTTGGATCTAAATAAACACTGAAAACATCAGGCATGTAGCCGTTCATAAAGCAGTGGCTATCTAGGTCCAGGAGCAAAACATTATTTACAGAAAGAACACTGGGTTATGTTCTTCATCCAGACCAGACCTTCTCCAAGTAAGATTTCATGGAGAAGTTGAGAATTAAAGTAGTCAAAAAAGGGGTAAGTGTTGTTCCTCTGTTCCTGACCATACCATAAAAATTCCATCTCCAAATCTGACTTAATATATTTTATTTGTACATTTTTATTATATTTGAAATTGTTCTCACTCCATCTCAAAATCACCGTCACTCACTCACTTCCCACTTGCCCATAAAGAAAGACATGCACAGGTTAAAGGGCTCATAATATTCATTACTGAGCAAGAAATGGTTCTTTTTGTGAGGATAATTTTTTTAAGTTCAGTAAGAATCTTAATATAATATAACCGTAACCATGCACAACCTAAATTATTTGATTAGTAAAGCCTGAGAGGAAGGAGGAGCCCAAAGTCTTCTAATTGTATAATCATCCAAAGTAACTAATTTCGTAATATTTCTCTACCGAGTAAAGTTCAATGAAGAGACAGTTGGCAGAAAATTATTTCTTTAAGCGTTTAACCTCGGAGTGGAGTTAATTGAACTGCACTGTAACTTTTGAGGCTGCAGTTTACAGTGCTGTCGGGCAGAGTTGTTTCTAATGTATTGTCCACCCCCCTTTTTCAATTGGTAGACTAAAGGACTTATTGCAGGATTGTTGTACCAGACTATATTAGTTTTAGCTAGGTGTACCATGTGGGATACACGTATCTTCTCTTTGCAGATGGACAATATTTGTCATGATGCAACACACACATCTAAGTTAATACTGAGTGCAGTGGTGATGGAGACAGCAGGGATTAACCTCCAGACTGACCTTGGCAATGAAGTTGCCTGCATCCAAAACAGCTTTGATGTGCTTCAGCCAGCCTGAGCTCTCCAGACCCTCCAGGAAGTTAGACATGGAGGGGGACCGTGGCTCACACACTGCAACCAAAACACAGCTGTCTCACTGGCAAGAAACATACGTGATCACTGGGCTTTATTATACCATGACTAGCAAGATCCATGAGAATTAATTTCTAGGAAAATCTGCGCAGGGCATGAGGAAAATATGGGTCACACAAATGTATTTTGTTTTTCAAAACAGATTTCCTTCAGCTTTTCATGTGACTGTTCATTTGGTTTTTAGTCACGCTAGTGATGTTGTCAAACAGTCCACTACTTTGTTGAGACTCAAATATATTCCAGTCAGACTTTCAATCAGTATAATATACAGTGGTGTGAAAAAGTGTTTGCCCCCTTACTGATTTCTTATCTTTTTGCATGTTTGTCACACTGTAATGTTTCAGATCGTCAAACAAATTTATATATTAGTCAAAGATAACACAAGTAAACACATCATGCAGTTTTTAAATGAAGGTTTTTATTATTAAGGGAAAACAAAATCCAAAACTATATAGCCCTGTGTGAACAAGTGTTTGCCCCCTAAA